CTTCATGGATGTGTGGCAAATATGAACGTAGAATGAAAGGCTGTCCTTTAAAATTAGAGATAGTTTGGAGATATGGATTTATTCTTAAGGATATTTTCCTTCCTGGGTGTCAGGTGCCATTTGTCACACCCCACGTTTTGCTGTCCATCAAGATGGGGAGGGGGTGAGGGAGAAAAAGAAGTGCTTTATATAAAGCAAGAAGTTTATGTCAACAAATATTTTACGCAGAAAGAGGCAGTCATGCACCTTTTACTAAAATAATCGTAGAAGAGGAATTAATTATTGTTGACATGCTACAATAGGATTCAAGCAGGGCCCATTGGCAGTAGGCAGATACAAACTATGGTTTTTAAATTCCCACAGTGCCTCAGGGCATCATAGGAGAGGGCCTGCTTTGCAGAAGGTCCCGGCATACTTGCAGCTAGTCTTGCTTATAGCAGATATGGCCATCCCAGAGGCTCCATAATGCTTCACAGTTGCATGGGCCACTGTTACACACTTCTTCTGTTCTTTTCTATACCTGAATAGAGCTCTGAAATCAGAGCACATACAGTCCTAGTTTCACTAGGTTATACCTGGCTCAAGCCCTGGGCTCTCCAGCAATCCCAGCATCCTGTATTGTCCATTCTTTCTGGGCATTTGACATTAAGGCAGCTCTGAACACTGGATTTGGCTCCTATGAGATACTTACAGCTCCCCTCTGCTCAAACCTATGCATAACACACAAATAACGGAGCACAGCTTTCTAATCCGCAGTTACATTCTGTGCCAGTCCTGGATCTCTTTGAAGGACTGGAGAAGACTGAAGAAAAACTGGTGTTAGGTGGAAAAGGCAGGAGCAGAAATGAAGAATCCACAGACTACTGAACACGTATTCTGCTTTGTCAGATCTGATCTTTGCAGTGGCACTAAAGAGATAAGCATGAAGTGACATGAAGTGTTTATTACCCAGGTAACAAGGAGACAACAGTGAAAGGATCAAGGCCCCTTCAAGAAGGATACAGCTGTCCTCAAAGCACTTAATCCCAGCCAATGGGCTTTGGCAGAAAAACAGGTTGTTTAGATAGCTTTGTTTCACTGTGCATAATTGCTTAAATCCAGGCTTAAAGGAGTTAAGCGCTCCCTTTTGGCTACTGATGGCACTTCAGTTTGATGGAGCCTTGGCAGAAGGATGGGGGAGGGCACGGAAACAAAGAGAAAACCTTTATTTCACCCCTATCCAATTTCGACAATCCATTCTCCATAAGCTTTCCCAAGCTTCATGTGCTTCCACCACATGGCATTCTCTTGTTGAAAAGAACAAACACTGTTTGCCTGAAATAATGTAATTAACTCAGGATCAGGAATAAAACACAGATAAGTTACATGATGTGCCCTTTGGGTGGGTGGGGTTTGTAAATGAAACCATAATACAAATGGCAAAGACCAGCATTCCCAGTGGCTGCTAGTGACTCTGGAGTTTGTGAGAATGGGGTGGTTGTTTCCACCTAGACAGGAAAAAGCAGATAGGAAATTCTGGTTCTGCCTAAGTGAAGAAGAATGATGTAGAATGTAGGCAGCAGCAGAAAGAGTTACCAGGATCGACTTACCAATTCTGTGGTGAGGTTACAGTGGACACTCATACATCAAACCCCCCCCCCCCCCCGGAAGAGGAAATGCATCACCAAAAAAGAAGCCAAAAGATCATATAGACTTGGATAGAAGTTGCACATGCTGCTTTATATATATTAAGATGCGAATCTAGAAATAATTGCTGTAATTTAAATAGAAATTCAATGCATTTCACCATAGTGGAGAAACCTTTGACTGTATGACCCATGTGCCTGCTCATTTTACACATTTCCAAAATAAAGAAAAAGGATAAAAGGAGGAATACATTCACACATGCTGATTTATATGTATAGATGTAAATTAACACATAACCAAGATATACATCTCACCGTAGCGAGGAAGACTGTGGCTTAGGTGACCTGTGTGGCTACTCAGTCTGCTGACCAGGTGCTGTTCATGGGCAACTTCAAGGCCTCTGCTCTTCTTTCCTCCAAAAAGTTACATCCAACTAATTCATAATCAGAGCACACTCCTTGACATGTAAGTTACTTATATCAATTTACTTGTGTGGGTCTACTCCAAGTATGCAACCCTTTATCTTTAGCCAGGCTTGGACTGGACAGCTTTTGAAATGGAGAACTGTCCTCTGCAAAGCAGAACTCATGGCCACCCTAGGTGAGGTGGATCACAAAGTACCAAAGGAGTGGCAGCCTCGGAGAAAAAGAAAGAAGGAGCAGGCAGCAGGGCTGGACTCATTTCATCTAGCCCATCTTTTCTATGAGATGGGAAACTAACCTACCTTCCAACGCTAGGCTGGTGGCTCTATCCCAGCCTTTCTCAACCTTGGGTCCCAGATGCTGTTGGACTACAAATCCCATCATCCCTGACCACTGGCCATGCCAGCTAGGAATGATGGGAGTTGTAGTCCAACAACAGCTCGGAACCCAGGTTTGAGAAAGGCTGCATCCTATCCAACTAGGTTAACGTGAGAAGCTCTTCCCCATGTCAGTGTTACTGTGGGGGTCTGGAATCCAGCTGTGGGCCTGACTGAGCTGGTAGGTTCCTGGCAGCTTTCCAACACAGCCAGGTGCTGATGCTCTGAACACCAGACATGGGGCTGAAACAACAGGGGAAGCCTGCTCACAGTTCCTGTTTTCTCATACCTGTTCCTGGTAAAGCGTTCCAAATTTGAGTGTGCACGTGTGCAATAGAGTTCTACAGGCTTCAGTGCCCTCCTTCAGGTCTCTAAAAATAACATCTCAAGAAAGAGGGGTGCATCATGATTCTAGCACATGTGTGTAAGAAGAGTTTGCATTTGATATCCTGCTTTATCACTACCCTAAGGAGTCTCAAAGCGGCTAACAATCTCCTTTTCCCTCCTTTCCCCACAACAAACACTCTGTGAGGTGAGTGAGGCTGAGAGACTTCAGAGAAGTGTGACTGGCCCAAGGTCACCCAGCAGCTGCATGTGGAGGAGTGGGGAATCAAACCCGGTTCACCAGATTATGAGTCTACCGCTCTTAACCACTACACCACACTGGCTCTCTCTAAATGCATATAGACAGACATAAAATGCCCATGAACTGTTGCTTTCAGTTCCCTCACAGCCACAAAACCAGGTAATAAATGCTGCTGAATGAGTCTGACTTGCAGTTATTCTACGTATGTCATTCATTCATTCATTTTCTATTTAAAATATCACTAGCCCTCTGTTCATTACAAAAAAAGAAAACTCCAAATTACGATTGCAACGCATTGAAAACCTTATGCATAAGAACCGACAAAACCAAAACTGGCACTGTGGTAAACTGGCACGTCAAGGAGAAATATTTAGCACAGGTTGCTCCTTGATTAGCTAGTTTACTGCAGAGAAACAATCTTAAAGGAAAAAAACCCCTGGGACACAGCTACCATCTGAAATGGTGTTCTCTTATCTCAGTGCAGAGCACCTTTCAGTGGGAAAGTAGTGAGAAGAAGATTCTCACCTCTTTATTCCACAGAACACCCCTCCATCCCAAATGCAACTGGTGTGAATGGGTAGACTAGGAACCTGTACTGGTTCATTATGTTTTTGCTATTCTAGCCTTTATGGCTGTGGCCACAATATCCACAATATCCAGATAGCTACCTTGTTCCTTTCTTTCTCTCATGTATATATGCAGGGTTTCTATACGAAGTGGAAGCCTGGAGTCGGGCCTTTTTCAGGAACATTTGTTAAAACTTTATCTTCCAAGAAATGCATTTTTCTTTCCTGTAACACAGCAGCAGCAGCAGATCAGACAGAATACACTGTGGCCTAGTGCACACAATGGGTAGTTGTAAGATAATGTCAAAATGCCAACCTAGTTGCAGGTGGTGTGCTGTCCGGTGAACTGACTGGCATGAAAGCAATGACCCTGTTGACGTACTCTTTGTTCTACTGGGCAGTGATAGTGACATCAAGTGGATATATTAGTGAATTATATAGCTGAGCTGCTGTGATAAAAAGGAACTGCTCATGTCAACAAAAGGCTTGATTGTAACGCGGGCTGCTAAAATGGCCTGCTTCCTCGACTTCATTTTCAAGCTTTGCAAATTCAGAGAAACTTGTTGCTTTTTGTAGAAGTCATTGCTTACACCAGAGGTAGTTAACCTGTGGCCCTCCAGATGTTGTTGGATTGCATCTCCCATTCCCTGACCATTGACCATCCTGGCTAGGCTAGGATGGATGTGAGGTGGAATCCAGCAGCATCTAGAGGGCTTTATGTTAGTCACCCTTAACATTCTGTGCGCTCTGGCTTCCATCATGGTGTTCCATTGCACCAGAAGCGGTGTAGTCATGCTGGTCATATGACCCAGAAAGCTGTCTGAGGACAAACACTGCACTGGCACCCTCGGCCTGAAATGAGATGAGCGCTGCTCCCCATAATCGCCTTTGACTGGACTCAACCGTCCAGGGGTCCTTTACATTTTACCTTTCTATGATTCTATAGAAGTAGTATAATAATATAATATAGTTATTAGGCAGGTGCTTCTACTGTACTGCTATTGGTGAATGCTAAAAACATATCAAAATGTTTTCTCACACCAGTGTCTCCTTGTATGTGGGGAGCTAGCATCTCTACAAAGACAAAGGCGCTGTATAGCCAAGGATTTTTAGTGAGGGTGGGTAAATTCAAATAAAGGTCCCCCCCCATGTGTACCATATATTATGTCACTACTTTCTGCCACTCCCAAATGCTTAAATTAGCTCCCAGACTTGAAAGCCTAAATTTCTGGGTCTGCCTGTCTTCCGCCCATTCCGAATAAACATATCTGCACTTGCTGACCTGTTGTACTGATACACCATATTGGGTTTTTTGTTTCATTTTTCCTTTAATCTGGGACAACTCCCTTTGACTCCCTGTCTTTTCTCCAAGGCAGATAATAGACTCAGAGTTGGAAGGGACCCTGAGGATCATCTAGTTCAACGCCCTGCAATGCAGGAATACGCAGCTGGATCGCACCTGCGACTTTGGTGTTATCAGCACCACGCTCTAACCAACTGAGCTATCCAGTCTGTCATAAGATCAGGCTGTCAAAAACTGGGGAGATGAGAGCTCTCAGGCAGAACATATCAAAGTTACAACAACCCTAGGTTTCTACTTGCTTCTGCTTCCAGGATAGGCAGTACTAACCCAGATGGACCAATGGCCTAATCCAGCATGGCAGCTTCTTCCTATGTCATTTTCAGGAGAGGGAGTTTCAAATGTGAAGCATAAAACAGCTTTCCCTCAAATTAGCTGTAATCCAAATTTTAAGCCTCCATTGTTGAAAATGTGCATACAGGTTTCTTCCACATTAACAACATTGACAAAACTATGGTACAAGCAGCATAAGAGAGGCCTTGTGTGAAATAATGCTCTTTTTAACCTCCTTTAAGGGCTACTGACAAAATGATCTAAGATTTGTCTAGCCTTTACATTATGCATAAAGCGAGCATGGCTGCCTGTGAGTTTTTAATTCTGGCTTTTCTTTAATCTGCATTCACCATGATCCTATTTTAAAATCCCAAGTTTCCTACCGCAGACGTGTTAGCGTTAGGACAATACAACACACACACCAGAAAAGAGCAAGCGAAAAGGAATATGTCACATACTGACTACAGGGAAACAGTGCAAAACATCTAATCACAGCAGTGCCAGCAAACTTGAACCTGTCCGAAAGGATCCCAAGCTCTCAATGTTTAATTGCTGTTGATGGCTCTTGGTCAGTCATGCATGGCAATGCGTGTGTCACGCTGCTTCCTGCCTGTGTTCATTCCTGTCAGCCTTCACTCCAGGTGATGGAGCGTTGCTTCTCTGACCATGTTCAGAAATGGGGCGGGGGAAACAGAGCTCTTGCAGACATAGAGCAATGTGGATTCACATAGTCAAAAGCGGGGGGGGGGGGGGGCAGAAACAGCACCAAAATCTGGACAGCCAGGGCTGGTTTTCCTGCAACTTTTTCCTTACATGAATGCTTTAAAAATAAAAGTCAAACTATGGAGCGTCTGTGACCTCCAGCATTCCAATTGGCAAGCTTCGATTCTTCTGTTGAATGTAAGCTAGAGGCTGCATGGAGCAATTTGAATTACAATTGAGGTGCAATGAACATTAGCATTTTTGGTGAACTGGAGCTTTAAAACTGCTGATTTAAACAGCTAACAAGAAAGAAAGCTAGGCAGGAGAGGAGGAGGAGGAGGGGAAACAGAGATGCAACTTAAATCATCTTGAAGCTGCATAATAGCATCCTGCCTCTTTTCTGAAAGTGATTGTTTAATGGTTTATAATACGCCAGGCCTAGATTTTGCCAAGCACTTAAATATGTGGCATGCATTAGCTATGTGTGTGTGATCTCATCCCAAACAAGCAAAGCTTATGTTACATTCTTAAATTTAAGCATCCTAGACACTAATCCTGAACGCTGCCATTCCACAACTCCACTTTCATATTGCTGCAGTTTGTGATATTCCATTGGTAGTGACCTCCCAGGACATTTCAGTGCTTCAAAAATGCAACTAGCTTGCTACATGTTAAAAATGTAATTGACAATCTGCTGAGTTTTTTTAAATGGTGCTACAAAATCTAATGCCTGAGGTGGGTTGCATCACTTTGCCTGGCTCTATAAATTGGTGGAGCAATAGATGTACAAGGCAACTATTTACCTAGTAAATACTTATCTAAACCTATGTGTAAGCTTATTACTTTGACCACTCATGACAAGAGGGAGATCTGAACAGAAAAGAGCCGGTGACGCAACACACTCCTTTTACTAGCTGCACTGTATGGACATGACGCACCGAAGCTGGATCACGTGCTATCACACTTTTTCTTAGTGCAGCACCAGTTGAGGTGGAAAAGAGTAACTGGGGGAGGCGATGCAACAATGCAAGTTTGCAGCGCTGCTCTCTAAACCTTGTTTTCACTTGTATTGTCGTCACCAGGAATGTTTTTTTGCTTTGCCTAAAAAGTCCTGTAAGTGAAACCATTGCTGCTGTCATGACCAGGCAAGTTGAAATGTCGGTCTAGTTCTTGCATCTTAATGCTTCTGGGGCTATTAACAACCTCGAATTAAAATCACCAACATATCAAATATTAACTATTTGAACCTGAATCAAAGTTGGTATTTATAATTTAATTATTTATTCTGAGTAATGAGCTATGTGCTTTTATATTCTGCATCAGTGGAAGATAGGTAGCTGCCTTATACTGGCTCAGGAAACTGGTAGATTTAACTCAGTTGTATCTACAGTTCTTATCCCAGAAATTGAACCTGGACCCTTTTGTGTGCAAAGCATGTGTTTACAAGAAAACCACATCCCTTTCCAAAATCTGTAGACTCAATTTGTCTCGCCTTCCCAAAGAAAAATGCCACCTAGACTCAAAAAAGCAACTGGCATATAGTGATGATATGAAATAGCCCCCATGAGCCTATGTTCTCTCTTTCACTTTGTAACTCTTAGGCTGCAGTCCCAAACACATCAGGGAGTAAGTCCTGTTGAATTCAGTGAGATTTTGAGTAGATATACATAGGACTGAGCAGTTGGACCTATAAAACATTGATCCCATGGTGATGACATATTCAAATTTTCTGGGATTATTATTATTATAGTGATCAAGTTTAATATTTGGTTAAATATGATTACAGATTCATCTTCAGACTAGTTTCTCGAATCAATTACTTTTGGGCATGATAGCCTTTCTTTTTCGACATTTACTATTTTAAAAAATTAGTACAAAACTCTGCTTGTAGTGGCAAAAGAGCAATTTCATAATCGGTAAGGGATTCCATAGAACCAAACAATCATTTCCATTTCCTTGGCAATTTAGAGAAAACATTGTTCACAGTACTGGAATTAAAAGCACAAGTTCACTTCTGCCAGCAGTCTAGAATAGATGTTGATATTAATTCTTTCGGTCCTTTTTTCTTTTCTTTTTTTCTTTTTTGGTCATGGAAATAAAATGAAAGATCTCAACAAAATGATCTGGGAAAAACACAAATCTGTCCAGAAGCTAAGAACGGCAGAGGCAGGCAAAATGCTACCTTCCTCCCACTGCCCTGTCATTGTAACTGCAACCTGACATGTCAGCCTTGGGGGTGTGGTTAAAAAGGACCTGCCCTCCAGGGTATGAAAGGAAACTTCAGCATCCTTGCTCATTCGGGTCTTGTATAAAAACTGACAGATGTGTCAAAGGTATGATGGGGCGGTGAATAAGTAATAGGGCTTGACAAGCTGGACCTCATCATTCCATTCAGCCCAAGGTGAGGCAACAGTCAGGGCAATTAAAAAAAACATGCAACATTCTAGATGGGCGATTATGATATAGTTCATGTTTTTCATCTATGCTCCCTTATGTCAAAGGAAATAGATATGTATTATGAGAACACATCTAGGACCACAGCCTATACCCTGGTATAATAATGGTTTGCACTATAGTTTAAATGTCAACTCCTTATGTTTGTTTTTACATAAAGAGTGCCGGACTTTCAACATGGATTGTGGAAAGAGCAGGTTTAAGCAGTACACATTTAATAATAAGGACAATGATTATCTGAATGATCGTCGGGCGTTTTAGTCAATGGTAGTGTTACAGCATGGATCTCAGAGGTGAAGAGGCAATTATTTGTCTGCTGAACCACCCTAATCCCTAGACATCCATAGGTCAACTTCCAGCGAAGGATCCGATTCAGATATCTTTGCTTGCAAAACATACACGCTCAAATTCCTTCTCAAAGTATCCGCTTTATAAATGACACATGGATGGCAAAGTGCTGCCTAACTATGAAAAAATACAATTTCTTTAAAGAAAAGAGAGAGAGAACCTACAAAACACTCTATTTTTCTAGGTATCGTCTAAAGACAAAAGCCCCCAACTGTACACATTTATTTTATGTGTTTAATATCATTTTTCCAGAGCAACCTTGCAAAACACCCACCAGCAGACATCCCTTTGATGTCTTTTTGGGGCCAGCTGACAACCTTTTTAGAAATGCCCATGCTTTCTAATTTAACCTTTTGATTTGTTTTTATGATAGTTTTTTTTTATCTGCTTCATTGAAATCGCATCAACAAATTATTATTAGTTAAGCTTTTAGCCCTCTTTTATACTGTAAACTGCTCAAAAAGTTTCCAGACTGAAGAGTGGGATATAAATATTTGGGATACATATACAAATAAATACTGCAATGACAAGGGCATGGCTAACTGTGAGTATCCAAACACAGGAAGGATGCCAAAAGGATTTATGGGCTTGGCATCCAATACATTGGATGCTTTCCTCCAGTTGCAAAAGAGGACAGAAATATGAATGAAATTTGCCTTCGCTTTGTGCCACATGCAAATTTGTATCCTCTTTTGCAGCTGGAGTAAAGGGTTCAATATATAGGGTCACACACAAGTAATAAGATGTCTGACAGACAGAATGTCAACAATTGAAGCTTTCTCCATAAATGTATTTCCATTTAGCCTTCACCTGTTGTATTTCTGCCAGCCACACAACTCCTGTTTTATCTCAATAGCAACTCTTAATCATGCAAAGAACTGAAGTGCCTTGAGTTGTAAATAAGGATGAATTTGTTCAGTTTGTAATCTAATGCAAACTTATCAGTTTCACATTCCCTGTACCAACACAAAAATCAAAGTAGCTCTCTGCTCTTCCCTAAAGCATTTGCAATGCAGTTCTCCAACCAAAGTATGCATACAAAAACGTGTATAGTGAAAAGCGTGTTCATTCCTACCACAATCAGTAAAAACTATAAGAAATGAATTATATTAGGGGGATATTGCTTGCAAAAATGCATATACTAGGTATAATTCTATATAAAAATTATTGTACAGTGGTACCTCGGGTTACAGACGCTTCAGGTTACAGACTCCGTTAACCCAGAAATAATACCTTGGGTTAAGAACTTTGCTTCAGGATGAGAACAGAAATCGTGTGGCGGCAGCACAGCGGCCGTGGGAGGCCCCATTAGCTAAAGTGGTACCTCAGTTTCATGTTAAGAATGGATCTCCAGAACGAATTAAGTTCTTAACCCAAGGTACCACTGTATTAGGAGCAATGAGTACAAATTTTCACATGGTTTTTTTGTTTTGTTTTTAATCATAAATGTATGCAGAAATAGGGCAAACCAAACTTAAGCTTGGAAAATGAAAAACTGAGAGAAACTTACATTAAATGATCTGTCCATTCCTAGCTGTAAGCCTAGTAGCTGTAAATTTAAATTTTTGAAAGGGAGGAGGTCAAGATTATGGGGGTTAGGACTACCATCAATTTATCTTTGGTTCTCAGTATGACATTCACTGCAAGACCAAGCGTGGTATTTCAGATGGCGGGGGGCAGGGGTAATAGACATTTAAGATTTACAACAATTTAGGTTCAGATGCCCATGGTTGGATAAATTCAAGTTTGAATTGCTTAAAATCCAGCTGTGTAACAAGCAAGCAGGAGTCAAACCCTTCTCTCCCCTCCCCCTCAAAAAGCATTTGAGTCTTAGATATGTATATACCAGTACTCACTTCAATGTTTATACCAAAAGCAGTAACCCACCTCCAAGAATCATCCTATCTTTCTCTCAGGGGTGAAACTGCTTTCCTAAAGATCAGTCATTGCCTTGATCTCATTTGTTGTCTAAAAACACTAATGCTACACCTGGTTACACATTGTGGGAGCCCAGGTTCAGACATAATGCTCAGCCAAAGCACGTCTCAGCTTTGGGCAGTGTGGCGGCAGCAGGACTGGGAAGGAACAAAGCGCCCGTGATTTTAGCCCCATGCAACAGTGTGTTCACCTTTAAACCATAGCTAAGCTTAATGCGAAGGGACGCAGGTGGTGCTGTGGGTTAAACCACAGAGCCTAGGACTTGCTGATCAGAAGGTTGGCAGTTCGAATCCCCTCGACGGGGTGAGCTCCCGTTGCTCGGTCCCTGCTCCTGTCAACCTAGCAGTTTGAAAGCATGTCAAAGTGCAAGTAGATAAATAGGTACCGCTCTGGCGGGAAGGTAAATGGTGTTTCCATGCACTGCTCTGGTTCTCCAGAATCGGCTTAGTCATGCTGGCCACATGACCCGGATGCTGTACGCCGGCTCCCTAGGCCAATAAAGTGAGATGAGCGCTGCAACCCAGTCGGTCATGACTGGACCTAATGGCCAGGGGTTCCTTTACCTTTACCTTTAAGCTTAATGCTGGTTGAAAGTAATGTGTGAACCAGGCCAGAGTATAAGACAGGTCCCTGAAATAGGGTTGTTTCAGTTGCATGAGCTTAGGCTTGGTATGGGGATTAGAGGACTGTGCCAAAGGCTCGAAGGTAATCAAAATAATCACTGTTTGAATTGCAGGTGCCAGAGCATTTTACTTAAAGTGAAATTCAAGGTCAATTTGGAAGGTCTGAAGGATGTTGAAATGTTATTTCTCAGGAGGGTTTTGCACATCTCCATTAGAGACTGAATCCAGGTCAAAGTAGTCAACAGATTAGAATATTTCTAAGACTGCCTCTGTCACCCTAGTACTTTTTTTAAAAAAGCAGAATTTTTCAGTTAGGAAAGTGACAGGAATGAACAAATGATTAACAGGAAGATATGTAAACAACTCACAAGGAAATAGCAGAATGGCTGCATATTGGCACAAAACCATCATGTAAACAGATAAAAGTGAATGCTCAAAAAGCTATTACCATGTATTTTTAAATTAGCTATATCTTTTAATTGGTTTTATACTTTAGCCTTTTTATTTTGCTATGGGCTTTTACTTATATGTGAACTGCCTTGGCATTTCTTCTTGAAATGAAAGGTGGTATATAAATTATTTTAATACTTACAAAAATAATAATAAAGACATATAGCTAAACCATCAGATAAGCTTTTCACAAATAAATCAGACTGAATAAAAAGGTTGTCTGGAGAAGCCCCACTGTTCACATTCCTTCTTTCTTTTACGCTTTCTTTCTTCTGACATTTCCTCTCCTGGCTTGATTCTGCTCTTAGCAAGCTTTGTGTTTTAAGAGAGTGCCAGGCATGCACACTTTTAATGCTTCCACCCTGATGCTGTCATCCTTGTCAAATATCTGGAAGCTTCTTTACCAGAGTGCTGCTGACATAAACTCTGGCAGAGTCCAGGAAAAAACTGTGCTTTCCCTACAGGGCTAGAAGAAGGAACTGAGAAGCTGATTGCCACCCATCAAAGTGTCTGCAAGGAATCCTTAGGAATGACCCACATGTCACTTTCCAACTTGCAGTCTGCTAAGATATGTTGGAAAAGTGCCCCAAAGTGTACTAAAATGGTTATGGCCAGAGTCAACTTAAGCTTGTGTACTCAAAAATAAGTCCTATTGAGTTCAGTGAGACTTATTCCAGCATTAGCATGCATAGGATTACAGCCTATAAATTGTGTATGGCAAAGATCATCCTCTACTAGGGCCTCAGACTTTTTATATGCTCTTTCTAGCTTTACAGGCAGGTGGCTGCAAGTGTTTTTAGCTTCTTCCACACATGAGATTTTGAATACAAGAAGGAAAAAAGCAAAGAGAGAGGGAGAGAAACATTGCAAGCAGGTGCTGGTGATTTTAATTTTATCCATTTATTTTGCTTTCTCAAGGCCTATTCATAACACCACATTGACACGACGACAGAGTAGGCCATGAGTCAGATCTAGTTCAGGGGAAGTGGATAATGTGACTTCCTGATCACAAACAAAACTCAACTTGTATTTAGCTGGATTACAAACAGGGTACATTTATGCTTCTTGGGCAGCTGTTTCATTTCTCCATTATCACTTTAAACAAAGCACACCCAGGGACAGACATACTTTGTATATGTGTTCAGGCAATTAGTGACCTACATGATGGCAACTGGAGAAGGCGGAGAGGACAGAGGGTGAAGAAAGAGCTGTGAGTGGAGGGTGGCCCTTTCCCCATCCTTTGGACCCCCTGGAGAACTCAACAAACCTGGGTCAGGGTGTGGAGAGTACAGCTGAATGGGGCACAGCTGTGTGCAACCCGAGGAAGTACCATTCACCTTGGGCCTGCCCCTAAAAAGCAAGTCTATACAGTGAGATATTAGGGTGATGCCTACTGTCTTCCAGGAACTCCTCTTGTGAGACATTTGTGGGTGAGCTGAGAGTTTGTTTAGACCCTGGGTGAGAAGCCGGAGGCTGAGAGGGAGGGAGTACCAGAAGGAAAATGAATTAATATTGATTTGCATATATTAGTAACTTTGCATTAATATAACATTTTTATATGTAGCTGTGTATCTTTGTAATATTTCATTTAAGTTGTCCATTGTCGCTTCCGTTTTTTGTATACCACTTAGAGATGTTTTAAAAATATTAAGCAGTATAGAAATTCATAAATCATCAATCAATCACTATATGGGGCTCTTCCGATGGCAGCAAATACTGTTCTTCCCCACCCCCCTGGGTAGAAAGAAGTGTGTTTTGTCATTCTGTGTAGCTGCCCCCTGTTTCTGGGACCAATGTTGATTTACTTCAAAACATGTTAAGAAAGAATCACATTCCTTTGAGTTTAGCCAGAGGGGATGAAGGGACAGAATACCCAAATCCTATCTGTGAAATCACCCCAGGCTTCAATAATCAACTAGGCCTCAAAACTGTCCAAAACTCCTTTTGTCTTCTAAAAATCCAAAACAGCTTTTCTCTGCTCTTCTCTGCTTTTCTCACAAGATGCTGTGGCAAAAGGCAAAGTGTTACTTTTAAAGACTAATGAATAGGCTCTGTCATTGCCAAGAATACTCAGGCCTGAGAAACGAATCTTATCTCTTTCGGTTGCAACATCTTGGACATGCTGAACCACTCTCACCCCCCCCCCTTTCCTGGGAAGGGCGCCAAGAGTCCAATAGTCCCAAGACAGCTTTCTGTTCATGCTCAGAGGAACTCATGGGCAGGACTCCTGAGGGAGGAGAAAGGGGGAGGGAACTGGAAAGGGGTATATATGCTTGTGCACATGACTGTGAACTTCGGGCATGCTTTTGTGAACTATCACACTTGCTCCTTCTACCAGTTCATGGATGGTAGAAATAAAAGCCTTTTCTCCGAAACTATTCCTTGAGTGTCTGTTGACTCCCACTTCCCTTTCCCGGGCGCAATATTTTTCCCATCCGAGGGCAAAGCCTCATAAGGCTACAGGGAGAGTTAATTGCTGTGATGGGCCTGAAGATGAGGAAGTGGAAAATAAATGAAGGTTTAGGGAGGATGGGTTATTTTTAAAAAACAACAACAGGAAAGACAATTTGGATTTGAGCACCACATTTGTATCAGATCCTACCTGATTTCAGGGTCCAGGTAGCTTCATATGGAGAGAGGTGGCCCTTGAGGTATTGTGGTCCTGAGCCATGGTGTCAGAGACTCGCTGAACTCTGAACTTGGTGCCACAAGAGGGTGAGATGTTGTTCGGCTCCAGTATTTTGGGAGGCAGTAGTTGAGAATCCCTGAATGGGTATGCTATAACTCTTACATCTTCCTAGAGAAATGAACTTCTGAAGTAGCTAAAAACTACAAACAAGTGTTCCCACTGCCCATTTTCCTGCCCTCTCCCTGTAGGCCCAAGGTGTCCAGAAACAAGTGCAAGAGGTGCGAAGGAAGCAGCTTAGTCTCTAAGGCTCAGAGAAGGCAAGTGAGTCGGCCATGACAGCAAGGAAGAGCAGCAGTAGGCCTCAAAGGTTTGAGAGTAGGCCCCTTGCAGGAAAGTGGGGCTCACCAGAAATGCCTACCCTTGACGGCCCTGAAATTTTGAGGGCAGCCAAATGAGGACGCAGTAAAAACTGCCAGTGCCAGAAGTCTAAGGTGTGGTGAGTTTTTGACCATATCTTAAGCAGTCCTGCCAGGCTATGTCCACTTCCCCTCACCTTGGGGAGAACTAGGTTTTTGAGCCTATTGTTCCAACCCGCAGTCTATATGTGAACTTCTGTGTGTGAGGAGCTCTGAGGTGCACCATCTAACCTCTCTTCGGTTCCTATACCAACAATCTAGGAACTTTTACCACTTTATAACTAACCTAAGTTTTATTGCCTGTGCAGCTTCTGTGAAGCACTTGAACCTGACCTTTGAAGGGTTTGTAAGCAAACCATTTTTTTAACTTAACCAAAAGTGTGCTCTTTTCTTGTGCTGGGGGAAAAGGGAAACTTTGGGAAGAAACCTTTTTAAAGGGGACATTTTTGAACTTACTTAAAGGGACTTATTTTAAAGGTCTAACGGTCTGTATCTCCATGCTTTCCTTTGCTGTATATTTTATGAATTTAAATCTCTGCTGGGTTTCTCTCACCAAGGAGTACTTGCCCCAAGCTTTGATCTTGGCATCCAGGAATTCTCCTTTATATATTTTTTTCCTGCACCAACAAGACTAGCCATCGATTTGGAAGGCATATCTCACACAATATGGAATTTAAGAATTTGTGAAGTTCTTCAACTGGGGTCCCCAATATGACATCCTTCTAGGTGCTACAAAAGTTCCCTTAGAGGGATGTCATATTGGGGACCCCCAAAAGTGCCTGTTTATTATGGGGCATGGGGAGGGTGTCTCCTTTTTTGCCTGGTTATTTGTTTTGGAGAGGTGTTTTGTATGGGGTGTTGGCATGGGGTGTTCTGAGCATCGCCATTTTTAATTTTGTGGAACGCATATTTTGTGATTTCTATTAGCATTTCTTATATTTCCAAATGTGCTCTTTCATGTTGCTGTAAGTAAAGTTACTACATGAAAGTAACATCTTCAAATGAGAACTATTGGTAGGCGCAGAGGGCAGGAAAGAAGCTATTTTTTATTCTGTTTTGCATGTGATATAGAAACCTGTATTGGGGGCGGGGGAATCCAAAACATCTCATTTCTGTAGTACAGAAAAGCATCCCATTATCCAAGTGCACTGGAGCTCTTTTTAAACACGTGGCTCAGGGCTCTTCTTTTAATAAAAGAAAAAATTGCTTTGAGCAAATACTGTAGAATTTTTTTTGAAAGTGAGAAATAATGTTAATGTGGAGAAGCTACCAACATAAGCCTGAATATGATAAACCAATTCATTCATCTTTAAGGAACAGTTTTATTTAACACAATTAATGCTGAAACAAATATTTAGAGTGAACTTTGGATTTGATCAGTTCTGTGTATTTACATGATATGAATTTGATTTGGGGTGTTTATCCAAGTGACACAAGTCCAACTATAGTTATCTAAGCAGCTTGGGCAACGTGCAAAATGCTCAGATAATGTGAGGACTGCTGATATGCTGATCTATGGCTCCATGGATGTCACACAGGACACATAATGAGCCTATGAGTAATGAGAATATCCTATCTGCAAAGATTAAAAGAGAGATATTAATGATCACAGTTTGTGGGCTGGTGGAAATATTATTCACCCTATGTGCAGGGCACAGAAATGTGCTTACAGTGGTGATAAACACAGGGAAAATAATGTTTTGAATTCACAGTATTAGGATAGATTGAAGCTGCATAGCAGCAGCACTGCTGCTTGAGGTATGCAACACAGAATAACAGCACATCTTAAGAAGGGCCGGCCCTACCATTGGGAAGTGTGAGGTGGCTGATTTTGGATGTTAGGAAAGGGCAAGTTTGTTGATTAATTAACCTTGTTATTGCAGTAGGCACCAGTAAGCACCTATGTGATTTTCTGTGGGGTATTCTGCACCCTGATTTGGGGACAGGGGTGACATTTCCTATTCTGTCTCTGGCAGAAAAATGTCTTGGGCTGCTTCTGATCATAAGAGTCACATAAATGTGATTCTTCCCAGGTTTTCTGAGATGGAGAGGGAAAAACTATGTATGCTATCCTAACCTCTTGAAGGAAGTGTCTGCCTAAAATACATTTTAAGATGCTAACCAACCAGTTATGCTTATACAGCTGATCAAGATGGAGTGTGGCCTGAAACTTGCTGTTATTTTACAAATGTAATATGTTCTGATTTTCCAATGTGGATCACTTTCCATACCCAAGACAAATTGATCCACTGTTTTAGTTGCTTCTTTTATAATCTAGGTGATTTCCTTTTGTATCTCCTTTTTCCCTTGAACCTCTGCCTGTTTGTCCAATTTATCAGGCAAACAGATTCTGCTTGATCCACCCCTTTTGTCAGACACAATACCATCAAAGGCAGTGATTTGTGAGCTTGAGAGAGCAGAGACAATGTGTGCCTGGGTCACTGGTAATTAAGGAATGTCAGTGGTCAAGAAGGGCGAAAATCAGTTCAAGCCAAACTGAAGCATTTAGGTATTTTAGTGCTGCATCCTTTTAGGTCTCTCTCAGCTTATAAATATTAATTTAAAGACTACCAACAAGGACAGTAAACGGATTTAGGCATAAAACTTCCTGTCAGGAGTGATTTATGCCCAATAAAAGGAGAGCTGGATAGAGAAAGCCTGCTTCGCTAAGTTTATGATAGACAGTGAAACAGTGCCATCAAAATAAAAAGGATTCCACCATGTAGCTTGCTGTATGGGGTGCCTCCGTTCTTAATCAGCATCATGCGGGTGATGTTTTCTTATTTATTGTATTGTTTTCTTTCATAAAGACATCTGATGTGATATGGTTAAAGGTCTGGGGCAGTGTAAAGAATATAAGTGAGCTCTTATTTTTGTGTTCTTATTACCACATACAGGGCAATGCTAACTTATCCATTTTGCTGTTTTCTTTTTGCTAGCTGAGTGTTTACATTGAATATGAGCACGTCAGCATAATTTTTGGAGACGTGCTTTGTCATAAAGTCAGCACCACCCAAAAAGGTGTCACTTAGGAACATAGGAAACCACATAGCAAGTCAGGCCACTGCTCCATCTCTAGCTCAATATTGTCAATATTGGCAACAGATCTCCAGGGTTTCAGAGAGAGGATGTTCACAGCCCTACCTGGAGGTGCTGGAGATTGAACCTGAGGCCTTTTTGCAGGCAAAGCAGATGCTCTACCACTGAGCTTGAGACTCCCTACCAAATACCATTTGCAAAAGCACAAAGATAGACAGGTCAGGTAGATATGAAAAATTACTTTTATTATAAGTTATCTGGTGGGTAGAGACACGGGGCTGAATATTTTGCATGACTGCTTTGCTCTTGAGTGTGACTGCTTTGCTGTTAGAGGGAATGATTTTAAGGCCTGGTTTATAAGCGTCAGGAGCCACCCTGCTATGGCAGCTATTTGTGCTATGGATGATGGGGCCCATAAAAACGTAATAATTGCCCTGCTGGATCAAGACCAATGACCTGTCTAGCCTAGTATCCTGTTCCCCTTTATAGCCAACCTGATGTCCACAAACTAAACATGAGAGCAGGAATTCTCCCACAGCTACTCTGACGCAATGAATACAGTGGTACCTCAGGTTAAGAACTTAATTCGTTCTGGAGGTCCGTTCTTAACCTGAAACTGTTCTTAACCTGAGGTACCACTTTAGCTAATGGAGCCTCCCGCTACCGCCGCACGATTTCTGTTCTCATCCTGAAGCAAAGTTCTTACCCGAGGTACTATTTCTGGGTTGGCAGAGTCTGTAACCTGAAGCGTCTGTAACCCGAGATACCACTGTATTTAGATGCATAGTGCCATAGGTCTTGGAGGTAGCATATACAGTAGCTACCATGACTAGTACCAATGAATAGGCCTATCCAGTCTTGGTTCAATCTCCTTTTAAAGTTGGTGACCATCGCCACATCTTGTGGCAGTGAATTCCATAGGTTAACTATGGCCCCATGTTGTTTGACAGATTAGGTGTGTTTTAAACTGTTGGCTGCTTTGATAACATTTTTTTGGTAGGGGAAAAAGTGGTATATGATGCAAATAAAAAAGTAAAAGGCTAACACTCTGTTTTTCCATAGTTTGTCTTGCTGAGACTTGAAATTCTCAGGAGTCCTCCCAAAGATCTGCTTATCAGCATTCTTGTTTCCAGTTGCCACCCACTATGCGGCTGGACATATGAATCAAGCCTAATCCTTCTTTCTTTCTTTTTTTGCGGGATGTATGTTGAATCAAGAGGGACAAAATTTACAAGTGTTTCCGCTATGCAACTTTCACATTCATTCCAATAAGGCTTTTTACAAGTGGCACAAATAAGCTTTGCCAAAATGAATGAAAACTGTGTAGCAGCAGAGTTTTCACCCTAAATCAGGGCTGCAGCATTATTCTTGGCCTCTGACTGCAGAACGATTTCTGGGCTTATTGTGCCGCAGAATTTATTAACCTTGATAATCAAATTCACTCCCCTGGGGTGTTGCCTTGTTGAATGAAGTCACTTGTTCTTGCGTTATGGGAACAACAGTGAAGTCAATGAAATCTGACCACAAACCGACTTATTATGAAATTTCCTGACAACTGATTTAATGGCTTGGTCAGAAAGCAAAGTTATATGGCCCTAATTCCCTTGAAAAAGTAATTTTGTTTACAGCAGGTTCACCAAGGCTGTTTATTTTTAGAAGACATGTGGGACTGGCAACAAAACGATGCAGTGTATTCTCACTGCCAGCCAGGCAACGGCCAAGCCTTCCACTAAGGTGCTCCATTCTATCCATCCTCCTTCTAGTGTTCCAGTTTTCTTTTCCAAGTGATTCTCAGTGTTCTGTGGCTACCAAGCATGTTCAGTCTTCCTTCGGCTGTGTGTAGGCCTGCAGGGGTGGGGGTAGTTCCCTTAAGACTTTTATCATTCATTCATTCATTCATTCATTCATTTATTTATGTTGTTTTGTTTTAAATAATTTTTATTGATTTTCTTTCTTGCAACAAATATCCATCATCATTACTAAACATTCATTTTCCAATTTCCCCCCTCCCTGTTGACTTCCCTCAACCTCCATTTCTGGTTTGTTACATCAAATGGTACAATCTACTGTTTATATATGATGCTATGTTTTCCCATTGTTATATTTCTTTCTTCTCTGTAAATATAATTGTAAATGTTTATTTAAATCTTGCCAGTGAGTCCATTTTTTATTTTTTTTGTTTCTGCAAATATGTTGTAAAGGGTTCCTATTTTTTTCCAAAGTCACTACAGTGGTACCTCTGGATACAAACGCAACCTGTGTCTGCGTGTGTGCGGGTCGCAATTCTCCGCGTCTGTGCATGCGCGTGACGTCACTTTGAGCATCTGCGCATGCACAAGTGGAGAAACCTGGAAATAACGTGTTCCATTACTTCTGGGTCACCATGGAGCTCAACTCAAAAACGCTCAACCCGAAGCTACTTTAACCCAAGGTATGACTGTATTGTCCTTTTCACGCAACTTGTCCATTAATTTTGCTAACTCTGCATAGTTCATCAACTTTTCTTGCCTCTGTTCTTTGGATGGTACTTCTCCGGTCTTCCAATTTTGTGCTATTAACATTCTTGCTGCTGTTGTAGCATACATAAATAATGTCCATTTTTCTTTTGGCAGCTCTTATCCCAAAATACCCAACAGAAAAGCTTCTGGTTTTTTAACAAATGTTATTTTAAACATTTTTCTCAATTCATTGTATATCATTTCCATTTTTTAAAAAAAATAATCTTGCAATCCCACCACATATGGTAAAATGTACCTTCCCCTTCTTTATATATCCAACAGTTCTTTTGTTCTGTTTTATACATTTTTGCCAATTTTACTGGTGTGGTATACCACATATACATCATTTTCATATAATTCTCTTTCAACAATATGCAATCCGTGAATTTCAAATTCACTTTCCACAACCTTATGCAATCCTCAAATTGTATATTATGACCTATGTCCTGTGCCCACTTAATCATTACTGATTTAACTTCTTCATCTTTAGTTTCCCATTCCAACAGTATATTATACACCTTTAATAGTTTAGAATTGTTGACTATAATATCCTTTTGGAATTTGGAAACTGTGTAAGTAAATCCTCTCTTGATGTCTTCTTTGAAGATTTCATCCCTTAAGACTTTTTAAAAGTTTTGTACTTCTGTAAAACTTGGAGTTCCCTGAAACACACTGATACCTCCATCTTGTTTCTCAACAGCCCCATGTTGGCTCCAATACTGTTGGCACTCAGTACCTGCATTTGCTATTAGGTGACAGATATTAAAATTGTAGCTTAGGACCAGTTCGCACTGGAAACTCATTTGAACCAGTTCCTTGGTGTAGGGTAGCATTCAGCCAGCTGTTACTACTTACTACAGCCAGCTGAAGTCTTCTGCGTCTTTGGTACAATGCTCTTGCTTCTCTTCACTGCTGCTTGAAGCCCCATTCTTAGGAGGCTGAGATTGTGCCACCCTCCTTAGATGATGGGTGTTGGCAAGGGCAGTGCTATTGAGAGGCTCAGTATGGGGCCTACTGGCTAGCTGTAGCACTTATTGGTAGCTGTAATAGTCAGTTGGAGACATTTGTACATGCAGAGGCAGGTTCACAAACTTCATTGCTAACCAGCTGTTAGGATGTATAAAATTGGCACACGGAAAGGATGAGACTTGAGTGGGATCAGTACAAATAACCCCGAAAACTATCCTCCATTTCCAGCATTGAACTGGAAGAATAGACCCCCTGTTAGAACATTCTGTTTGTGTGTCGTAGTCGTGTGAAATCAGAAAGATCCCCCATCAAATGTCCTATGTGTCGCTTGTGGAAATGTCCTGCAACTACTTCAAATCTGTATTTTTGTGCATGTGTTTGCTAAAACAGCATTTCTGACTCCACTGAAAAATACAGGAACTGATATAATTGCAGTTATTACACTGTTGAAATATCAGCCTTTATGACTTTATTGCATGCTAGAATTCACTGCTATAAAATGGGTCTTCATAAAAGCTATATGAAGGGAGGAGGAGCAGGAGAATATATAGAGAAAGGAGAATGGAGTCATATATTTGGGGATATACCTTTTTTTGGCAGAGGGAAGCCCCACACTATATCAGAGATACGCTTTGTGGTCGGAATAAATGTGAAGCCAAGGTCCTTAGAGAGGATCGCTCTGAAAAGAAATGAAAAATGCATAAAACTTTGTTTAATTTATGGAATTTATATGCTGCTGACCAGTAAGTATAAAGTTCTGTTCCCTTGGTCCTCACTATCACTCATGTATTACTTGTCAGTAAATGTGGTGCACTCAGAACTTAACAGCTACGGCAATATTTCTGTTCCCACTGCAGCTTTACTACACCCATGAAACCCTGTAATCTTTAAATTCCCTCACTGTTAACATCTGCTGAAACATTATTGGTCCCAGCATAGCCAAGCTGCTCTGAAATTACATTTAGCAAAGTAGTTAATGCTAACAGTATAATTTTAGAAGCAACCATGTTTAAAAAAGGCTTTATAACTGGTGTGGCAACTGCATTTCCTTCAGATTGTATGCCTTTTTCCTGCTTCTGGTTTACACCATTATCTCATTTGTATGCCACTAGCCTTGCTTACAGAAGAATTTTCTGGTATTTATTTATTTTTAGATCAATATAGTCTCATTCTTTCCCTTTTCTTTGCATGTGTGTCTGTCTGCTCCAAATCCGCTGGACTATTTAAAATACCTGCCCCATTTGTGTGTGTGTGTGTGTGTGTGTGTGTGTGTGTGTGTACCAAAAAGATTTCCGCCACAGGATCAGATTATGTAAGTTTTTAGAAGGTTGAGGTTGGAAATTTAATCAGGTTTTAATAAGATGAATATATTTTGTCATCCAGCCAGGGTGTCTTGCATGTTTGAAATTCAAATTGTCTTGAATATGAACAAAATAAGCAGGTTACCACACTGTCACTCTTAACAAGGGTACATTTGTGTGCCATTATAAAGGAATGGCTGCACAGAGAACATTCAGCCTAAACTATCCAAGTGCTAACTATTATAAAGCACAACAAGGAAAGCATTCTTTAGATTTCCCTGTGTTGCTCTAAAACTACAACCTAAATGCACTGTGGTTTAATATGCCTCATTATCCATCAAGTACTGTCTGGCCTTGGCTGGATTTGGATGTAACACTAAAACATATTTTAATACTATGAGAATGAACCTTGG